GACTCCTTACAATTGCTCTAATTCCTTGGGAAAGCTTATCATCTCGTACTATTGCAATAACTCCTCTACGAATAGATCCTCCTTCCTTTGGAAAAATATTTGCAGAGGATGGGACATCTGCTCCAAAGGCAGCACATGGTCCCCTCACATCCGTTCTAATCTTAATCTATGGGAGGCCAATTGGATACCAAATATTGGTAACCTAAGGAACCTAGTTACAGGCCCTCCTTCAGCCAAAGATTTCTCCACCATAATTAGAGATATCTTTGATGGTACCAATTGGAACCTAAACTGTTTAACCTTCTCTCCCTCTCCTGATCTATTAACTACCATCTTCAAAACAAAAATCCGCCAAAAAGGTCTTCCCATTGACTTACCTATTTGGTCTCTCACCACTAAAGGAGTCTTTACCATCGCGTCTTGTTATACACTGCTAGAATCTCCGAAGAACTCTAACTCTGACTTTGAATGGATCTAGCATTTGGAGTGCCCCCATAAAATCAGATTTTTCCTATGGCAATGCCTTCACAGTCGAATCCCTTGCAGGAAGTACCTTTCACAGATTGGACTAAACATTGATTCTAATTGTCTCATCTACAAAAACCCTATTGAAGAGTCAATTGAACATATCTTCCTTGACTGTAGAGCTGTCAGTAATCTCTGGAGTGACCTGAAAGGGACCCACCCTATCAACGGAAGTGGGAAGCACTGGCTTCTCCAAATAAGGGACTTCAACATTCCTATAAACCATAACTTTATAAACTGGAATAACTTCTTTCCCTTCATCATCTGGCATATCTGGATTAATAGAAATAGTAATAACATCAACAACACTGCCAACCAAATAAGAGGTTCCCAACTCATGCAAAAGGCAGTGGAGTTTAAACTTTTCACGGAAAAATCCTCTATTAATCCTCCCAAATCCCTTATAAAAATCAACTGGTTCAAACCCCCTTGGGGGTGGTACAAACTGAATTTGGATGCCAGTTTTCATAGCTATAACAAAAATTATGGTTTAGGCGGTGTTCTTAGAAATGCAACAGGTAGCTGGGTGGTTGGTTTTTCAAAACTAGCACATGCAAATGGCTCCCTAGCAGCTGAATTAAAAGCACTACGAGAAGGGCTAAGAACAACAAAAGAATGGAATCTCTTCACACTTGAGATTGAGACAGATTGCTCAGAGGCTATCCAGGCAATACAAAATGGTAATAAATTATTTAACAAAACTGTTAATGATTGCAAGTCCTTAATGCACCAGCAGAATGTTATTCTCCAGTACACTTTCAGGCAGGGGAATAGGATTGCCCACCAGCTAGCAAAAGGAGTCCTAGAAAGGGACAACCAAGCTGAGGGATTGACAGGAAGAAGTAAAGCAGTGAAGTCCACTAAAAAAGTTCTTGTCGTACCACCTTTTGATATAACAGATTTTGTTGAAAGTGACAAACTTGAATCTACTTGTCGCGAAAAACTTCTATGTAGTGAAGCTTGTAGTAGGCTAGCAAGCTTAGGAAACAAATGCATCCTCCGAGATGCAAGTCATGTCGACTATGTACTAAATGTTCCTTAGTTATTAATATATCTATTTCCTATTTGCTAAAAAAAGGCAGTAAAAACATGTAAGGTATAAATCAGTAAATAGCTGGCACCGATTACGAGTATGTAACCAGTGTTGTGTGAGTTCTGAAGACACTGAAACCGCGGACAAAAGTTTTAAAGAAAGATATCAGTTGAAGAAGGCAGCATTCAAGGATTGACCGTTATAAAGAAGCTTTGCATTTATACTCAACCGTTATACAGCTATCAAGAGAGTTCTTTATTTATATTAAAGAGGAGCTTGATTTGGGATCTTGTCTCCCTGAATTTAGCTATAAATATAGGAAATTATACTCATTGTAGACACGAAATACTGGTATGCAAAAAATGCTAAACTTACTCTTGCTTTCTATTAATATCTTTTTACTCGATACTCTATTCTTATTCTTGCTTCCGGAAAAGCTCACTTCACAGCCAAACTTGTACTTTCTTCAAGTATTCTTAAAATCAATTTCTATTCTTTGTTACTTTATATTTTTGGATCAATTTAATTCACGTGTCTATAAACTACGTTACAAATTCAAATATACTATTTTACAGGTAAACAACTTGTAGAAGTATGAAATTAACCAACCTGTTATATTCCAATCTCTTAACTCCAACCAGTCATAATTTAGGAGAATAACGTAAAACTTGGGACCGAGCCAGAACCTAGAAGAAGAATGGTACGAGATAACCAAAGAACGGTGACTTTAATCCTAAACTTTCTAACGTTAAGTTGTTATAACTTTTAAGTTCTTTTTTAAAAAATTATTTATCAAAAGTAGGACTCCTAATAGCTTAGTTTTTCTTGTATAGTTAACCAAACCGGCGGTGGGGACAAGTTTTTACCGAAAGAACAAATATGTGTAAAAGAAAAATAGAAAAATTACGCGACACGTCAATTATTTATACTGTATATATCATTCGTAGCTATACTTTCAGTAAATTTATCATTTATAGCTAGATGTAAATTTTATAACAAATTCATGAAATAAGAGATTAATTATTTTGATCTTAAACAAGAGAGCAACAAGTTCTCGCAGCTCAGTTGATTATGGCGCCCACTTAGTTAGCTGAGGTCTTGAGTTTATCTCTTAACAAGAGTATTTTAGTTTTCTTCATTTCTGTATGTAACAATTGAACAATAGCTACATATGGTAATTAGACAAACTATAATTACTAGGCTCTAAACTATAGTGATTTCTGAAAATTTCTGAAAAAATTTACTAGTAATAATTATATATTTATTTAATATTTGATTTATATTATATTAAATCAGGTTAAGTGAGATGGTCAAATAATGCGGGGATGATAATAGGAGTATAAATTAATAATGAAAAACAAATCCGTGCGTATGTCTGTCAGCTGCCTTTACTGTAACGTACGCATGTGAATGAATGAATTAAATTAATGAAAAAAAGAACAGAAATCAGATACCATTTGAATACCTAACCCAATCTCCTCTGTTTCGTTATGGATTTCGAGAATATACTGTAGTTGGGATGTTTGTCTTCGCTCTCTAATTTTTCTACTGTTTTATTCTTGTCAATTCTCTTTTGAATTCTTTTCTTTAAAGTTGAAACTTCTCGGTGCTTTCCCCGTTTTGGCAAAATATATTACTCCTCTGTGTTTTCGCTTATGTGAATATATTTAATTAAGCACGAAACATTAAAAATTAAGTTTTCTGAAATGTAAATTAAAAAATAGAAAGAATTATAAGAAAATACACATGACTTCACACCATAACAAAAAAATGGTCCATGTTTTTAAGTTTTACCCAAGCTAGCCCATATTACACATATTTTGAAAGCACTAGCAAATTCAAAACTTGTGTTCTTACAATCATTACTTCTAAAGCTATGAAGTTAAATATGTGTTCACACAACCATTATTTTCACTCTCTCTTCTTCTCACATCTTCTACATATGCTTCAAAGGGCTGTCCGCCATTGCTGTTTCTTACCCTGTATCACCTGGTTGCAATGTAAGAAAAATGAAGAGTAGAAGTTCACCATTGAAGGTCATTCAAAGCTTTGCTTTCCAAAGTAGGATTTTTTTGAGTTTGTTAGTTGTTTGGATTGGGTGTTGTTCCAATTGATTGAAAATATCAAAAGAATTTCAAAATTTAAATTTGAAGTGATTTGGAGTAAATTTGAGCAAGATTTTAGTTGAATTTTAGAAAAGACACAAGAAAGAAGATGAAGTCAGTTTTTTGTATAATGATATATAATCTTGTATAATAGTTTATATGAGTGTATAAACACATCTTATACACTTTTATACATCTTTAGACAAGCGTTGTAGACGAACTTCTTCCACGATTTTCAGTTGCAATTATTGTTCAAAACCAGTCCAAATCTCCATTAAATGATGTCAAATTTTATATACAACCTCCTTATATTATTTCTAACAAGTCTAAATAACACCCACTCTAAATTTCTCACAAAATCAAATTCGAAATTCAAACCCACATGTTTAAGTTTGTTAGAAGTTTAATTTTCACCATCCAAATGAATTTGGTTTGTTTTGAACTAATATTTGAGTCACAGTTACTGATTCGAAAATTAACTTAAAAGCTTGAACAATCTTTTTTAAAAATTAAATAGTAATTTTTAGAACCTATTGGAGTTGGATGTTGAATCTTAGCCTATTATTTTTGGGCTAGTTGATTGTAAATTGAAATATAGGCTATAAAATTGAAAAATAGGGGGCTCCGTTGTTTTTATGTGAAATTTTCCCAATTAAATATGTACTCCTTCCGTTCCCATTTAATTTCCAGGATAAAATCTTGCATAACCCTTAAGAAAAAAATTAATTAGGACTGAAATTTGACTAATTTATCAGATAAAATTCTTTAATCTTTTTCTATTTATGTGCCTCTTAATTCTAGAACAATTAATGCTAAGAACAGAAATGAAAAAGAATAATTAATTCTCTCTTGATTTTTTAAATTGTCAAGTATTTAGGAATAATTATTTTTAATATATATGATAACTAAATGGGAACGGAGGGAGTATTAAAATTTTATTTTTTTGAGTGAGTACCTTTTCAATTAATCTATGTAATTCAATTTTTATGTCAAATGAATCCCAACAAGTTAGTATCATTTGAGTAAAATAAAAATGCTAAAATTAAATAATAAAAAAGTCAGTTAAATTATATGGGTACTACTCAATAAATCCTCGTTTTCAGTCACCATTTGGGAATTCCATGCAACCCATTTTGCCTAGTGAACAGTAAGCCTGACGACAGCCACCTCCACAGGTCCGTTCTTGTTTTGTTTCTTTCTTTCTTTATTTATTTATTCTTCTCATTCTAAGCTTTCTTCAGTTTTTCTCAGTGCTTTTCGTTAATTCGTGTGATTGATGAGTGCTCTTTCCTTCTTGGTTAGGAAAACAGGAATGTGAATTTGATAGGTTGAGGAATTTTGAGCTTTTTTTTTCTTGTTGAGATTTTGACCTCTGACGATGTGGACTTAAACAGTGATCGGATTTTAGTTTTTTTTTTTTTCAAGGTGTCATCTGATCAACCCTTCTTAAAAAGGGTTATAATTGTGTCTTATCTGGAGATTTGAGATTTTCATGTTCTAATTTTTGAATGTTTGAGAAATTGATTCCTAATTATTGTGTCTAATCCTTAGTGGACAAAGTCATCCAATACATATGCTGGTAAGAAGTAGTACGTACCTGGTCATGATAATTAAATTGTTCTTATGACTTTCTACCTCAAAAAGCAGAACATTATGGGTTCGGGATTGTAATCCTTTTAAGTTACTGGGTTCTAAATTAATAATTTGTACATATTCAGTGGATTTTTTTAAGTCTAATACAGGGTTTAGCAAAAGCTACTAAGTTCGGCCGAACCTGCATCCCACACTCTGGCTCCGCTCCTATCGGAAAGGGGCTATATATGTTGTGGCTATCCAAAGAAGGCGATACGTCTATTTTGTTAATGTTATGATCACATCCACCGTGCCATGTTCGAACGCGAATATGGTTGGTAAATGGTAAGGTATCACATAAAACTGCTCTGTATCCTAAAGAAGACGATTGCATTGATTTGGTGAAGAAGAGTAAATAGATGACTCAATTGAAAGGGTGTGCTTTGTTTTGTGCTTTTTTCCCTTGTATCCCACTTATGGATGGCTGGTTAATGAACTGTTTAAACTGAATTGAGGGCATAGATAAAAACTGTTTGCTAGATTATCTCTTGCTAGCAGTAGCAGTGAGTTACGATGCTGCTGCTCGGGGAAGCAAGCCTAAACTAGCATAAATGTTAACTGTTTGCATTGCCCTGGGGAGCCATTTTAGTGTTAATGCTTTATGTTTCTGCATAGCTTTTGTCTCCTTATTGTTGAATGTTTTCATTTTTTCCAGCTTTACTTCAGTCATTTTATCTTCTTTTCTTTTTCTGAATCTAAAAATGTATTACTCTTTATCTGTTCCTTCTCATGATCTCCTAATTCTTTGTTTCACATGATTCTTTCTTGACTTGAATGTCAAAATTACAGATTTCTCCATTTTATCCCAAATGATTCAAGTACCAGGACATATTAATCTGAAATTAATTATGGTTATGGTTTTTTGCATTCAGCAGATCGACAGTATTACTGTTCCATAAAATGGAGAGTATTACCAATGTCATGGAGTATGAGACCATTGCAAAGGAGAAACTGCCAAAAATGATTTACGATTACTATGCCTCTGGTGCAGAGGACCAATGGACGCTCCAAGAGAATCGAAATGCTTTTTCTAGGATTTTGTAAGTACTTATTTAAGCACGTTGATACTGTTAATATTCTGTTTACCTCTTAAACTTATGTCTTTGCGTTAAAAATGTGAAAACTTTACAACTCTTCAAAGAATTTTCTTCCTTAAGCTGCTGAAATTTCCTTTTCTTTCAAATAGGTTTAGACCCCGCATTCTTGTAGATGTAAGAAGCATTGATACAACGACAAGTGTCTTGGGATTCAAGGTTTCAATGCCGATCATGGTTGCACCGACTGCAATGCAGAAAATGGCTCATTCTGAAGGTCTCTGCTCACTATAGTCTGGATAAGGAACACATGGTTTATTCTCTGTGGGAAAAGGTCACTAACAAAGTCAGATTTTGAAATTGTTGTACATTGCTGTTTAGACTATTGAATGCCGTTTTTGCTGAATTACAAAGAGAATCATTCTAAAATTGTTCACTTGTGAGTGCTTCATATCCTGTCTTGTATCGTATAGTTGTGAGCTCTTACTTAGCACATCTCACGGAAAATATAGTAAGTTTACTCCATCTTTCTGGAATTCTGTTTGATACAAAAACTCCAGGGGTTCATATTCTTAGTAGCTTTAACTTATTTGTTTTGTTTAATAGCACCATACTATAGGTAGACAACTGCTTGAATATGTGGTTGCTTTAGTTAGTAGCAGTCGCAAAGCTAAATAATTATATAACCTTCAGATAAATTTGGGACATGTCTAATACTGAGAATTTTGAGATTTTAAGCGATACTTGTATGGAATAGCAGCATGCCAGCATATTTTCTCTGATTTTTGCTGGGTGGCAGGCACTTTTTGCATTTCTCCTTGGAGTCTCTGTTTGATTTGGTTCATTTGGAACTCATTAGCTTTTTGAATTGTGTAAGTGACCATAATCTTGTTGTGACCAGCAATGTTTGTCTTTGAATCAATACTTTGATGCAGGAGAATATGCAACAGCCCGAGCAACATCAGCTGCTGGCACCATCATGGTTTGGATTTCTGAGCTTTCCTTAACCCCCACCCGAACTGATTAAAATTTGGCTGAGTGCTATGATTGTTGCTCTTAATTTATTTACGTGCATATCCCTTCTATTAACTGAAATGTAGTTGGTATTTTTTAGACATTATCCTCATGGGCTACTTCCAGTGTAGAAGAGGTTGCTTCAACGGGACCAGGCATTCGCTTTTTCCAGCTCTATGTGAGTTTTTATGTTCATTTGATCATATTTGCTCTTCTTACCTATTTTGTGAAGCATAAATCAGAAAAAAGGAAGTGTTTTTTTTCCTTCAATGGATCTACGTGTCTCTATTCTTTTGCATGTCCATCACAATTCTATTACAGAAGCTAATCTTGGGTGTGTATTAATATTGCTTCATACTGCAATAAAAATGTGAGAAGAGAGGAAATAAGATATAAAAAATTTCTTAACAATTGGTTGGTTAATTGCATGAAGTAGTTTCAGCTTCATGAAATTAGGAAGTTTCCTAATTATAAGAGTTCCTTTTTATAATGGCGTTACCGTTGAGAATACTCGACAGAAAATTCTTATTGATTCTCCTGACTTTTAACAAACTCATTAAAAAGAATTTATGCAATAACTTTAAGCTATTCTCTCCACTTTCAACATGCCGCTTCAAACTTGAGGTAGTAAAACAAGTTAAGTTCGCAAATCGAAACTGGAAAGTCAAGTTGAGTATGTCTGAGAAAGTTGTTGAAGAAGCATTCATCTGAGTAGTTTCGTGAAGAAATACTGTTGCCTGAAAAAACTTGGCTTGATGATTCCATGAGAGAAAATTGGCTTGATGTTGGCTGTGAAACTGACTTGGTGGTGTCACTACTGTGAATCCATGAGACGTGACGAAACTTGAGGACTGCATGCTTCTAGTTTGACCAGAAGACAGACGAGTAGGCTACCAACAACAACATACCCAATAAAATCCCACTAGTGGGGTCTGGGGAGAGTAGAGTGTACGCAAACCTTACTCCTACCCCGGAAGGGTAGAGAGGCTGTTTCCGGGAGACCTTCGGCTCAACAGAAGAGACAATAATATCAAAAAAGAAACGAAAGAAAAGATCTGTAACAACAAAAGAAGCCACAAAAGTAATAATATCATCTTAAGAGACACCAAATAAGTGAAAGGGAATGCAATAACACAATACTATGCAAAACAACAAAATAGTGTGAACACAACATAGACCGCTAACAGACATAGACAAAACTCTATCAAACTACCCGATACAAAGAGGCAAAAACTCTCTACTACCCCCTAACCTACAACCCTAATGCTCGACCTTCACACGTTCCTATCAAGAGCCATGTCCTCGGAAACCTGAAGTCGCGCCATGTCCTTCCTGATCGCTTCACCCCAATACTTCTTAGGCCGCCTCTACTTCTTTTCGTGCCTGCCAAAGACAACTGCTCGCACCTCCTAACCGGGGCATCTTTGGTTCTCCTCCGCACGTGCTCAAACCATCTAAGCCTCTCTTCCCGCATCTTGTCGTCCACGGGAGCAACGCACACCCTCTCCTTATCTTATCCAGTTTAGTAAGCCCGCACTTCCATCTCAACATCCTCATTTCGGCTACTTTCATCTTCTGGATATGTGAATTCTTAACTGCCCAGCACTTAGCCCCATATAACCTAGCCGACCTAACCACCGCTATGTAGAACTTACCTTTGAGTTTCGGTGGCATCTTCTTGTTACACAGGACTCCAGACGCTAACCGCCATTTCATCCACCTCACCCCAATACGGTGTGTGACATCCCGTCGATCTCCCCATCTCCCTGGATAATTGACCCTAGGTACTTGAAACTTTCTCTCTTGAGGATGACTTGTGAGTCGAGCCTCACTACCACGTCCACTTCCCCTGTCACGCCGCTGAACTTACACTCCAGATATTACGTCTTAGTCCTACTCAACTTGAAACCTTTGGACTCAAGTTGACTACCAACGTGACCAAATTCTGAGAAACTATGCTGCTGATTTGCCACTACATAGGCGATGAATTGATGACGATATGAAGTGGATGATGGTATAGTTTTGATTGTGCAATAACATGTTGCTGACTGGACAAAAGTGAATTGATGTATTGACAGGTCAGCTAACGTGAACGTAAGACCCATAAAAAAGACAGACATAAAAAAGGGATGTGCTGCTGGATTGGTAATTAAAATAGACAGATGGGCAGTGTAAGGCCACCCCCTGATACTCGTAATCTATTCAGATCTCTACCAAAATTGCAGAGGTCTTGAAACCATGTGAGAAGGGAAGGTAGAAGAGAGTTTCTTATGAATTGTTTCATGAGTCCTCCTTTGTGTCCATCAAATCTTTAGTCTTGTTTTCTTTCTTCTTATTCTTCTTTTACCTGTTTGATTGTCCACACTGAGTCATAACTACCAAAAATTTGTGTGACAACTGGTTTGATATGCTTCTCATTTTTAGAAGAGGTTATTATCTAGAACACAGCCTGGAACCCTTAAGTTCTATTACATATTTCAGGTGTATAAAGACAGAAATGTTGTTCGGCAACTTGTGAAAAGAGCAGAACGGGCTGGTTTTAAGGCAATTGCCCTTACAGTGGATACACCAAGACTTGGTCGAAGGGAAGCTGATATCAAGAATAGGTATGGGGCACCATTTTTTATATGTCAGTTTGTTGTCCAAAGATTTTGATTGTTTGATTTGGTCGTCAGCTCGTTTCGCGCATAGGCAGAGGCGACTGATATGGTGGTTTTCATTTGGCTTCTGACAGGTTTGTTTTGCCACCTCATCTGACATTGAAGAATTTTGAAGGACTGGATCTTGGAAAGATGGATAAGGTAAATGATCTTAAATTCGGACATACTTGAGACTAAAGTTTTTAAGTTGTGCAAATTTTGCACACTTGCATTTTGTTTGGTGATCCTGCAGACATATGACTCTGGACTTGCTTCATATGTTGCCGGCCAAGTTGATCAGTCTCTTAGCTGGAAGGTATGCTGGTGCTTGACTTTATCCTTGCAGGAAGAATGTTTGTATATTTATTGTCATATAAAAACTCATGTGAAATTTGGACAGGATGTGAAGTGGCTTCAGACAATAACCCACCTGCCAATCCTACTGAAGGGTGTATTAACTGCAGAAGATGGTATACCAGAATACTATATTTTAATTACATTGGTTTTTCTTTTCCTTGTTTTCTACCTCTTTCTTTGTATCTTTATCTTTTTTTTTATCGATCACATTTACTGTTTTTTGTTCTTTGACAAGTTTAGCAAGGCTAGCTGTAGAATCTGGAGCTGCTGGAATTATTGTGTCTAATCATGGGGCTCGACAACTTGATTATGCTCCTGCAACAGTTATGGCCTTAGAAGAGGTTAGCTTACTAGTTTATTAGAATTATGATGCCTTTCTCAGTTGAAATCTAGTCGAATTACATCACTCAACTGATATTACCTTTTGTATAACAGAACTTTCATATATCTTTTCTCCTTTATTCTTTCCCCTTCATCTATATAGGCACGTGGAAACTTCTCATCTTCACCAAGCTATGTGCATGGAAATGAAAATAAAAGTTAAATCATTCATGCTTTTCTCATGCTTCTTTATATGCTGAATCCACTCCTCTTATAAAGGTAGGAGGTTCGAGCGGGGGATAAAAGGGAGGAGAATATAAATTGAATGCTAGGTCTGCGATTTTCTTTTTGGCTACTTGATGTTTTGTAGTGTTTCTAAGATATTTTTTTAAGTATTATTTCTAAACAACTTGTTGAACCTTTAGTGTTTCTAAGCTCATAATCTTGATAGGAGTTTCACATGTTGTTAAAATTTTGGCTTCATCTTAAAAACTTGCAGGTTGTCAAAGCAGTGCAGGGAAGAATTCCTGTTTTCCTTGATGGTGGAATTCGCCGAGGGACAGATGTCTTTAAAGCATTGGCTCTCGGAGCATCTGGTGTATTTGTAAGTAAAAGTATCACATAATTTGGCAGCAATTTTTGCAAGTACCTACTTTAAGAATGGAACTTATTTACTCAGTTCCAATTTCATTCACATAATCTAATATTCCTCTTCTTCTTTCCTTGCCTTGAGGCTTGAACAATCAAATTTTACAAAATAGTTAGGAACTTAGGACAAAATCAGATTATTTGTTGTGGTGGTGCTCTCACGCTGACCATTTTATTCGATATGTTTGCAGATTGGAAGACCAGTTGTGTTTTCATTGGCTGTTGATGGGGAGGCTGGCGTTAGAAAAGTACTTCAGATGCTTCAAGATGAATTTGAACTGACAATGGCGTTAAGTGGCTGTCGCTCAATCAAGGAAATCACTCGTAGTCATATCACGGCTCCTTGGGACTCCCCTCGTATCACACCCCGGTTGTAAGCTTAAATCTCAACTTCTTGTGTGCAACTCCACACTTAATTCAAAAATATCGTTGCCTCCTATGAGAAAAACCACCATCAGTTCATCTATTATCACAATGGGAAGAAAAAGATACATCAAACTAAAGACTGCATGTAGCGTTTTCTAAATTAAATATATTGCATTTTTGCAACTGGGAATTGCATTAGAAACAGATATCTGGTTCTGACTATAGCAGCAAGTGAAGTCATTAGGCAGTTCTTTGAATCTTGAAATGCAGTCCAACAGGTGTAAGGTGAAGTTCTTGGGAAAGATGTATCAGGCAAAATGCAGCCTTTAAACTCTTTTTGCCGTTACATTGATGCTTTGTTTTAATGTTAGGCAACCCCGTCATCTTTATTATATTGAATTGCAACCATTGATTTTGTAAATTGTAGTAATGGATTTGGGGGTGGGTTTGGGGGGGTGGGGAATCTTACCCTAACTTTACCAACCTCTAGCCATTAATCATAAACGTACCAAAACTAGCCAAGCATACAAAAATTCCAAACCCATATAAATAAGGATTCTCTCTCCAAGGATCACACAAAGATCTCCTTCCATATTGTTAAGCGTGATTAGCAATGTTAGATGCAAGACCGAAAGAAAATTTCATGGATGAGGTAGCAAACAAGGTAATGATAAGATTCCAAAAAATCTATAAGCAAAAAGGGACCCTTTTTCAATGGTTGAAATTCATTAAAAACATATAGATGAATCAACATACAAAATTTGAGTAAGATTGCAAGTGATTTGGACTGATTTGGTATCAAAATTCATAGTTACAATCGAGTTCAAAAAATTATTTTGCAGACACATGAATCACGCATGCATATCACACACAAATATACATGGGTATAGTTGAGATACACATTTGATACATATGTGATACGTATGTGATATGCAAATGATATACTGTGTGATACACATATCATATTTTTTCATGTTCATTTTCTACTTCGAATTTTCAATTCAAACCACCTCAAAACTCTACCAAACCATCCCAAAATTAAAATTTATACTCCTTCAGATCTATCCAATCTATTCCAACAACACTCACTCAAAAAAAAGTAAAAAAATTGATATTGTTTTGGCTACAAATAGCTAATTAGCTAATATTGATAATATTTTATAAATTTATTAATTTTTGTACTAACTTACTTATGGGCTGATATAACTAGTAATTTCCCTATAATATTTCTGTAAGTAGGTTTGATATGATGAAATGTATTAAGTGGAATATCAGTAGTTATGGGTCGATTTTGTTACGTTTTACATTTTTAAAAAAAGTTAGGGTGCTTTTTCACTTGCAGTGAGAAATAGAAGGTAGCTGGATTAGCTATTACTCCGAACAAAATCTTTTGGGATATGATCACCGATTTGGTCAAAGCTTTGACCTAATTTTTCAGGCATTAGCCTAATTAGAGCTAAACTTTGACCTTGGCTTATTACGACAAATAGCCTGTTTGGGTAAGTTTCTTTTGGGCCAAAAATACTATATGCCAAAACTTGAGGTGTTTGGCCAAGCTTTTAGAGGGAAAAAAGTGTTTTTGAGGAGAAGCAGAAGCAGTTTTTGAGAAACAGAAAAATATAGCTTCTCTCCAAAAGTACTTTTCTAAGAAGCACTTTTGAGAAAAATACACTTAGAAACAGTTTTCAAAAGCTTGGCCAAACACTAATTAGTGTTCAAAAGTGCTTTTCAAATTAATTAGTCAAATAAAAACTGATTCTCACCCAAAGTATTTTTTTTAAATCATTTTTGAAAAAAAGCATTTCTCAAAATAAGCAGATTTTAGAAGTTTGGCCAAACATACTAAAACTTTCCGAGTTTCAACGTAGGAGTATTAAATATTTAATGAGCAGAATGGAACATATGGTGCCTAACATTTTAAACACGGAATGATTGAGTGATGGAGCTTGTGAGTGGGCAAACACATACTTATGTAGGTAATAGAAACCTCAGGTGACAAGACTTCAAACAACAATTCAACATTATAATTGAAATGAGAAAAAAGAAAGGTACTCTTTTGTTGTTCGGTTGCAGATATACACAAAGTCACATCGTGCATTTTGTCATGATATTTGTGTGTTTGCGTAATACGAATTGGGATGATATTTATAGAATATTTACTTTTTGTGTACGCTATGGAATCTCCATTCCATGTTGAAGCTTTTTCAAAAAGACCCGCCAATAGAATAAATCATAACACTCATAATGATCGACTTTATGAAAATTCCACTGGATTCGGAAGCTCGTACCATTGGTCTTAATTAGAATTGGTCTTGCTACGCTACATATAGTTCTATGAAAAGCAATGTGATTTTTTTAATCAAAAACCACCATTGGTAGAGGGTTTAGGCCATTACCCCTACTTGTATATTATCAAAATTAAGGATTACACCGAGGAGGACATAAACCTTAACCTCCACTATATCGCGAAGAATGACAGAATTCATTCTTATACAAATATGATCATAAAATGCTTGACTAAATTAAGAGGTTTCCTCCATTACATTGTTTATGCAAATAGCTTCACAAAAGGATGCTGCGTACACAGAAGATGTACTATCTAGTGTTAGCATCGTTAAAACAATGAAAAGCAATGTGATGATTTCAGGTTTCCACTATTTTGCATTATGTTAGGCCATATATAAACCTGATGTGAAAAGCTCCGATCAGAAAATTTGTGAAAATAGCGCGGGCTAGTCAGTTTTCGGACTGATAATTGAAAAATAACCAGCATTTGCAAAGTCATTGAAAAATAGCCACTATTTTGCTGCAACACGGAAAGTTCCAGCA